CCAGGCGCCCTAATAAGCTTCTAGGAAGACAGGCCTCTATTTTTTCCCCAGAGGTTCCGCAATATTTGCCCAGCCAAACAGTGTTAAAAGATAAAAAATATAGTTGCTTAAGCACTGCGCGCTTTTATGTGTACTAGCGGCTTGGCTGCGCTTCGCGCAGCCGGCGCCGCTATCGGGGTTTACTTGTACCAAGCAGACAACGTATGAATTAACACGCTATTAACAGGCAAAAATGAACGCTATTTTTGGATTCTGCATGCAAGAAAAACCCCCTAGGGCCGCAAATCAGATGAAGCTTTGCCTTTTTGCCCGTAGGTGAAGCATGCTATAGCGGGCCCGCTATGGCATGTAAGCAGGAGCCAGGAGCTGAAACTTTGGTCGATCATAACTTTTTTTCTAGCCAACCGATTCGCCTGAAATTTTGCACACTTAAGTAACCTTAGAAGCCCTTTCGAATGATACCAAACTTGACCCGATAGCGGAAACTTTTTGGCGGGGGGACGAACGCGGAACAGCGCTTTAGTGTATAAGGATACACTAAAAACACTGTTTAAAACCATGATGAGGCAAAAATCCGACATCATGAAAAATGTACCAAAGGGTGGACCAAGGCATTTTTTCGGCGCCGGCAGAAGGCCGGCGCCGAAAAAATAGGTAAGGGTCCCCCCTTACCTACCCCCCCCCCCTCCCAGGCCGGTCTCGCGCCGCCCTTGATCGCTGTGTGCGTGTAACATAGGGTTCGGCATTACAACCCTCCCGTACCGCACTCCGTACCGTACTGACCCCCCCCCCGTAGAAAATCGTCCCGTACCGTACTGCCGTACTGGACGTAACGTCCCCCTTACCGTACTCCGTACCGTAGAATATGGTACGGAATACGGTACGGCTGCCGAATCCTAGTGTAACAGCACGTGAGAGGCTGGTTTTTAGTATACTTCGGCACACCCCCGCGCCGCTGCCTACTCGTCTACAGTAGGCTTGCCGAACCGCTGCTTAAAAAAAACGGGACGGCACGGCAAAAAATACGAAGATTCAGAACGTACTGACCTCCGTTCCGTGTGCCTTGCTCCTGCAGTCTCCTGTTGATTAAATTGGCACGGAATAATACAGTAGGACAGGACTAGACGGCGCTGGTCTATGTCAATAGGCACGGTCACAAGTGCACTCAAACGGCGCATTGCATGAAGAAAACGACAATGGCGCAGAAGGTCTCAGACAAATGCATTGGTCCGAAAGACCGCAATTCGTTCTTATCCCGGGTCACACTCAGTGGCGTAGCTAGGGGGGCGCCAAAAAACGCTCGGGCGGCGCCTGCGGCGGGCTGTATTCAGTCTAAATGCTCCAAAATCGCAGTGTAAACGCCAAAATCGGACACTTCCGAAAAGTACCAAAAAGGGGGACCAAGGCATTTTTTCGGCGCCGGCCGAAGGCCGGCGCCGAAAAAGTAGGTAAGGGTCCTCCCTTAGGGTTCCGCCCCCCCCCCCTCCCGATGGGTCCTAGCTGCGCCACTGGTCACACTTGGGCACCGGTTTCATGATTACCACGGAAAAAAGAATAACAAGCTGTCAAAAGGTAAAAATATTAGTTTCCACCGAGATTTCAACTCGGTCGCAGCATTCAGAGTCTTTGAGTGCTAATCGCTACACCATGGAACCGCAGTGACCTGTGACTTAGAAAGCGAGCCCGCTAATGGTCTGTGGACGGCACGCGCTGGGACGCCATTTCTAGCAGCGTCACTCATGACGGGGTAAATAAAAAAGGGTAGAGGGAGAGGCTCAACGTTCTATGCGGGGCCGGGGGGAGGGATCCAAAGAGTCCCCATTTTGACGACGCTTTCGGAGTGAGAAATGACAAAAGTTCAGAGAGGTATCATGTGCCCAGACGGTGATCACCCAGGTTCGGTACATTTTGGCAAATGGCTTTGTAGGACGGGGATAGAGACAGCGATTTAAGGAAAAGTTGGTTTTATTCACTATGGTAATGCAGTTTTCGTAGCCTCGGCCTCGGACTTGCTTGACAGACCGGCGTCGGATGGATGAACGGACGACGGCTCCGTTTATCGACCCCGGATGCGCCGCGTTACTTGATGAACCAGGGCCTTGCGATACGAGCCGACGAGGAAGATAGTAGTGGCCTTAAGTGACAGTTATCCACTGTATTTCATTCGTTTTCTTCCTACCGGATTGACCGCCGGTACCCACTCGATGGAAATGGCGATGATCATACCGAAACCGACCCATTGCACTCGTAGGAAAAGGAATACCAGCAGGACGCCGATAGGGATCGCGAAGATCGACGTCAGCGAAATGAACTAAAACGTGACGATCTCCGACTGCTGGTGGTGGATTGCTGGAGCCGAATGAGATCAAGGCTACTTACTTCAGCGAACATGAGTCGGTTTAGTTGAGTCTGCATGTATTTCACCTTTGCCGACATGACGTTCTGCTGCCTAGCGAGCGTCCGCAGAGTGGCAATTGACGAAAGCGTTAGAACGGACATGACACAAATGTCCTCA